ACAGAGGTGACAGTTAATGATACTGTAATCTTGAAGGTGGTCCTAGCATTCCTCAAAGATAAGACTGAAACATGTTTGATGTGCCAGGGTTGACTGGGGCAGCATTGAGACACCTGATACTGTCTGGTTAAGACATGACCAAAGAGGCATTATTTTTAAAAGTTTGGCTGGTTGAGAACCTTTTGTGTGCTAATTTTCCAAGAATGGTAATCCATGGAGACTAGATGTGAATGGTGATTAGATCTTCACAGAATTTTTGGGTATAAAGGTCACACACTTCTTCAGTTAATTCTTTTTACTAAAGATAATATTCATGGTAAGGGTTTTTCTTAAGAGTGAGGTCTCAACCCTAGTCTGCATCATCTTGATAGCTGAATGTGCAGGACTGGAAACCTCTGGAGCTTATCTAAACCACAGTGAAATACATCTACTTCAAATGTACTTCTAACTTAATAGTTATAATATAATGAGTTACTCAGGAAAAGTGCAAGGAGCAGGACATGCTGGACATCTCCCATGGTACCCCCCACTCTTCACAGCTGCCAGGTGGACCTTGGAGGTAGGGGATGAATCTGCACTGAGCTCTGCAGTTCAGGTCGGGAGCTTGGAGAGAAGCCTCTGATGTGGAAAATACCTGTGTTTTCACAGTGTCCAGAAGTTTTTTGACATCCATAAGAACAGTGCCACGAGTGAAAATGTTTCTAACACAGCATTTTTATCCCAGCAATTAATTGGTCCTGTCTTCTAGCAGTAAGTAGAGAAATAGCAATTTTAGGTTTTTCCATTCTTTTATTTTATGATATTGCCTCTATCATCTAAAAATTGTAGCTGATGATTATGTAATTTTCATAAAAAGATGTTATAAAGATGAATATGTATGTTCCATGCTATGTATAGGTGAAAAACAAAAACAAAAAATAATACTTCTGCACTGTGGAATGGAGTAAGCAACTAAAGCAACAGCAGTTCATATAAACTGCTGAAAGCCATTAGAAGAATCTATTCATCATGCTGCGGGAGCAGGATCACTTACAGATTGCTCTCAGTTTTTCAGTGTCGTTGGGGCTGGTGCTGGTGTTGTGTATCACGAAAGCATGTGCTCATATTTAAGCTCTGATTTGCCCATTCATGATCTGCAGTCCAGTCCCAGTCAAGCTGAACTCTTGCATGAGGATTCTGGAGAGAGACTTGTTCCTGCCTCCTTTGCATGTATTAAAAAAAAAAAAAAAGAGAGAAAAAAAAGTTTTGTGTGTCAGGCTATTTGTCCTTACTGATGTGAGAAGTACAGGTAAGTGGTTGTATCACTGAGGTCTTCTGGCCTTAAAAAGGAGGGAACACTGACTTTCCAAGAAGGTATGGGAAGTGAGGGAACAACCAGGAATTAGTAAGGTGGGGTCTGTGCAGTGAAATAAATACATGAAAAAACATTTTTTGTGCCTCGCTGTAAACTGCCACTTGTAGTTCTGTTTCTTGATTGTGTAGTTGTAATTTCTTGGTTGAAGAGAGCTGAACTACATTGTGGGTGTTGTGCCCTCTTCCCACCCCCACCCATGCACGCACACACACACACACACACACACACACACACACACACACACACACACACGCACACACTGAAGTTTGGAAAGGAGAGACAGGCTGTTACATTTCAGACTGTTACTACAGCTGTATTAGGTGTAAATTGGATATCAGTTTCCCTGGGGCATGCTGTGGTTCTGTTTGACCGCTGCCAGTCCATGTAGCCCAGTGTTTCTAGGCTTTTTTGCAGCATGCTGTTAGCATACTGTCTGACGGGAGTAGGCAGAACACGTCCTGAGTAATATTTACCGTTTTTCAAGGGAATATGTACAGAGAGAAAAAAATCACTGTTAGTTTAGTGAATGTTTAAACAGTGTAATAGTCAAAGTTAGTGCTAGAAAGCCTCAATAATAGCATGGTTAAAATTGTTGAGCCAGAGAACGTAACCTACGTTTCTTCTGGTGTTGGGCTCACCCTTCCAGTGTCCCAGGGCATCTTTTTACTCTGGAAGAACTGGGCTGGGAGTGGAGTCACTAGACATCACATATGAGTGACATATGAGAATGCAGAGCTAAAAGTAACAGAAGAACAGAAAAATTCCTAGCAGCCTTTATAGGGGAAAGCTGATGGAATATGTAAGATGCATCTTCTGAGGAACAAAGAGTGAGTTAAGCTCAGGGAAGCTTAAGGGAATCAAAGTTAAGCTTAATAAAAGTTAAGCTTAAGGGAATAAAATAAGATGTTTGTGGAAATAAAAAGGAGAGAGAAAATAGAATAGCATAAACTTCTGATGGCTCTGAATTGTACCTCTCAGGAATTTTGTGTGTATGTTCGTGAATGGTACTGTTTAAGTTTGAAGCCCTGTATCTTCTCAAAGTGAGCTCTCGTTTTAGTACTTTAGACAGTTTAATAGCCTCAATTTTTGGAAGAATAAAGTAATCACTGAGCATCGCAGCTTTGCAGGCTGGTAGCTGATTTGATTGAATGTGCAAGAGAATACAAACCCTTGCTGTTGAATGGACATTATTGTATGTACAGTATATCTGATAGGCCTCCTGATTTTCAATCAACATCCTGCCTTTTCTTGTCAAGATATAATCAAAAAAGGCAGGTGAATGATGGGCACAAGGTGGCTGAGTGTTCAGTTCATGAGTCCAGTTCTTTTAACTGGACTGCTAAGAAAATGTGGTGCTGAAGGCTCTTCCGTACTACTTGCTTATAATGTTTTGTTACATGCAGATACTGGCATCTGGAAACAAGTTCTCCTGAGAGATTGTAGAATCTCCATCATTGAGGGTATTCAAAACCCAGGTAGACTTGGTCCTCAGCAGCCTGCTCCAGCTGGCGCTTTCTTGAGCTGTGGCGCTGATCTCCAAGAGATCCCTCCTACCCTTAACTCTTCTGTTATTGCTAAGTATCTTCCATATGATTTGATTCCTTAAAACGCATAAGGTAGCATAAGGCAAGTGATACTAGTGTGATCTGCTGTTACGTGAGAAATCAAACTGGTAAGAATGAAGTAATTTAATACTTTGCTGATCATATGGCATTACAAGAACTTACAGCTTAATAGGAGTTTTTTTTTTGGGATATCCATTCATGGCTGTAGGTTGCAATTTTTAACTGGGAATTTGTTGTTTAAGCAGGAAGTAAAATATAAAAGCATTGATAAAATTTATGTTGATTATTTTTCATTATCTTTCTGCATGGAAAGCTCTTAAATATATGGAAAGCTGTATGGAGAGCTAACAGATTATACTTATAAGGTATAATCAATTTTATATATTATCTAAGTGAATAAAGAATGCAGTCATGCATAGCTTGATGATACATTATCAAGGAAAATATTTAACTTAAGTTACTTAAAGCATAAATACAGGATATGGAGTAGGACAAATTAATTACAATCAGGCAGTATTAAATCAAACTTCATCGGTTAGTTCTACATCTCTTCTACATGCCAGTGTATGGTTCCTGTTTGTAGTGGTGCTATAAATTGCTTTGCTCCAATAGAAGAAAGTTTTTATTTAATTAAAAACACATTTCAAAAATCCATTGAATTATTTTCCAAAAAAAACACATTATGGCTATTTTTAGTCAAAATTTTCATTACACTTGATTGTAAAATATAGAGCAGGAAGAGCCTGGCATTTGAATACTGCTATTTTTGATATTTCTGATGGGTTATTATGTCCTTGCTTTTAGTATGCAATTGAGGGATGAAAACAATAGATTTTGTTTGCTTCATGGTAAAACAGTTGTAAGTCTATTGTTTTATAATTAGCCTGGACATGTATGATATACATTATCTACGTATCAGCTGGGATTTAACTTTAAAGTCTGTCACTTTTATATGTAATTACCACTTTTTTCCATGTAATATTCCAGTTTCTAAATTTACAACTTCATGACGTGTGCAGAAGATGGTAGTTCTATTTGTTCATGGGAGAAAAAGCAGAAAATATTTTTCAGTTAAGAGTGTTAGCAGTTGCCTAAGCTTAGGTTATTTACAGTCTTTCTTCTTCAATTTTATGAGAATTAGCAGATGATGCTTTTTTTTCAGATACCTGAGTAAACTTGTTTTTGCACACACACATTTAGATACAGTACTTTAGATTTTTATAGAGATATAAATACTTGTCATATTCTGGCTAACAGAATCGCCTGTAAGTTTACAGAATTTCTAAAGAAATCATAAAAATCAGATTATATTTAAACATACAGGCAATGGAAAATTCCTATCATTTGATAGTAAGTAAGTGAAATGTGAAAACATCCTTCCACTGTAGTTAAGGGGTAAATTTTCCCTTGCAACTTTGAAATCTTAAGAAAGTTGTAATCTCTGAATATTTGGAACTTTATCATCATATTCATGCTGTAAGAGTATTTGTCTGTTTCCTAAGATAGATTGCAATCACATTGCAATTATTGGTCCAAGTTTTTCTCTTCAGTATTGTATCAACCCTTCACAAGAGCCTATACTGATAAAGAAACAGCATTATGAAGATTCTTCATTGCTCATGCCTTTGGCCTTCTACCTTCTTTCCTAATGCTACCTGCTGCACATAGGATGGGGTGTCTTTCCTAACACTTGTAGCTATCTACAGGTTTCACACATATGAAATTCATTTCTCAAATTGAACAAACCTTACATAACTGCACTTGATAATTGCTGTGGATGTTTTTTAGAAGCTTAAAAAAGGTTCACAGATGATTCTCTCTACATTGACTGAAGCCAAGTGTTTCCCCACGTGTATACATCCTGCACTTCAGAATAAGTCATTTTTCCTTTGCACAAGAAAATCCTGAGAAGAACCTCAGTACAACTTTTATTCATAGTGAAAACTGACATAGCTGCTGGAAGAAAGCTCTGTACAGAATGGCATTATGGATTTTTAAGTTCTTTTAATAGAAGTAATTGGACATGAATGGGCAAAGTCATTGATTCTCGTTTTTCTGCCGTATCTGCTCTTCTTTTTCAGCTGCACATGTGCACCAGGCTGGACAGGGCCAGACTGCAGCGAAGATATAAATGAATGTGATGCAGAACCGTGCCTGAACGGAGCCACCTGTTATGAGTCTGTTATCCAGGGGCAGTTTGGGTGCATTTGTCCTCCATTCTTTACGGGGGACTTGTGCCATCAGCGCTTCAATCCCTGCGACCTGCCCTACAATCCCTGTGTAAACAACTCAACCTGCCTGGCGCAAGCTGATGGAAAGCCACGGTGCGTTTGCAAAGCAGGTGAGAGCTGACATAGTTAAGCTTTGCTGTTGTCTGCTGTGCTGCAGAATTGTTTCAAGTCGGCATTGTATTTAGCACTGCGTTTGCTTAAATCAAGCCTGTGTCCTTTTCAAAGCATATAGAGCTTCCATGAATTACAATTGGTCAGTCAGTTACAGCAAAAAGCTGGTGTGATAGCTGTGTGTCTGCTCTCCTTACAGTAAAGTAATTAATATATTTTACCTTAATATATATTACATGGATCTTAGATTCCAGCGTTCAGAATTGTTGCTTTCGAATCTCAACCCAGTGGACTAAATTGCCAAAATGGACAAGCAGAAATAGACAGAATATGCACAGATTGTTAAAAGTACAAAAATTGGGCCAGGTTGGACCTGGTTCCTCTTCCCACGGAGCTGCAGGAAGGTGTGGTGCAGCAGGGGAGTCATCTTCCCCTGTCTGATGAGCAGAACGGGATGCTGCCGTGTTTACGCACAGCAAGCAGCAGCACTGCAGGCACCTGCAGCTTTCTTGGGCCAAAGGAAGAGCTGAAGCTCGAAAACCCCAGTCTCCCTTGGGATACAGGAACTGCTAGGGTGGAACAGAGCAATTCTTGAACTGTGGAGAACATTTCTATGCAGTGCTGCAGAGGAATTAAAGAATATGCTAATTAATTCGAATGACTCTGGAAATTCAGGGATGCAGAATACAATTACCAGACCTGACATTTAGGCAGGATTTTGAAATCATCACCTATATAAATATAAATGGTAGGTGACCTCTGGAGGCCAAGGATAGCAAGTATATTAATTGCAGTGTTAAGCCACAACAATATTACTCATCTTATTGTTTACCGAGTTGCTAAGATGCAGAGATAATAGGTAGAAGTCACTGCAGTTAATAGCTTGAGTTTCTGATTGTTAAGACAAAGGTTACCATAAATTGCTGGGTAGAAAAAGAAGGGTCATAAGGAAAGCGCGCTGCTCATTCAGTGTAAGGTAACACTCAATATTATGACAAAAATAGAAAGCAACTTTTAATACAATATATTGATTTTGAAACCTTCATAAGAAGTGATCTGTAAAGAGTTGTCCTAATTCCGATCTTTTCTTAATACCCCACAAAAGAGTCTCTTTGAAATATTTTTGTGCCCCTTTTCTTAAAGATACAAACATCTTGCAGCCAGGATTCTCAAGGAGCTTTGCAGGAATCTGCAAGGATACTTGAAATTTGCAGCCAGGAACTTTGAACAATCTTCAGAGAATGAGCAGAGAAGTTAACTGAACTAATATCACATATTGTTTTGATAATAACAAGCCTTGGAAAACATAAAATATCATAGTATTGATGAGGAGTAAAAGGCATTCTTCATGAAATGAATAAAATATTAATAATGAAAAAATGCACTTATTTATTTGGGACTTGATCAACAGACCAGGAGATACAATATCATATAGAAATTTAATTGAAAGTATTTAATGAGAATAGTTTTTCTTCTCAATTGTTTTCCTTTCCTTGTTCCAAAATATACCAAATTGGTTACAAAAGACATCACACAGACACAGCTGGATTACTCAAAGGTACCTGACCTGAAACCATATGTGTTATGGATTAAGCAACTTGCATGATAGGTAGCCAGCTGTCCAGTCATTAGATGGATTAAAATCTAGTTTATCAATAGTCACACGACGTAGTTGTGCTTGAAGAGATCGTAATGAGCAAGGTGCTTGTAAGCCTGATTTCTCTGAAATCAGTTGTCCAAAGCTATTTGATGTTTGTGTCAGCTGACGAGATAGTGTCATAAATCTAGTAAGTTCACGCAGGAAGTGCAGATCAGTTCAGCTCATGGGGAGGCAGGCAGCCTTGAGAATTGCCTGATAGAATACGGTCAAAGAGTATGGATTTTAATACATTATGAAGCACTCTGTCTAAGATATAAAGCTTCTGTAGGTATGTATTAGGACAGTGCCCTAGAATAGTCTGACTCAGAAGAAGATATTAGAGTTGTTATCAATAAAGAAACAACATATTTTTTGTATACACGAAGTGGAGCTTACCATAGAAGCAGGGAAATTATTTAACCTCTTTACCATGACTTTGAAAGACCATTACTTAAATTCTGTGCCTAGTTCTAATAATGATCTTTAGAAAGCACTATTAGAGGTGGGCTGCAAAATCAGCAGCATGACCAGAAGTCAAACTTGAGTCTGTGATGCTTGTTCATCAGAGATTATCCGCTGGACAGAGGGAGCTGGGATTGGGATGCCATGGTGAGGTAGAGAAGACAAAAGCAGACAGGAAAGTGTAGGAAGCAAATGGAAAAGAGTAGCTGTATCTGAAAGTATAAATTAGTCACAGTCAGTCTTGATAGATTAGATTAGGACATGGTAATGTAAACAACTTTACAGAGAGATGGTGAAGTGGTGGTTAGTAGGAGTATAGAGCAAAATTGCATGTATTTTCATTCTTGTATACAGCTGTAGGGAGTTAAAGTTGTCCATTTTGGCTTTGAAGGCTTTAAAGTTCTATAAATAAAGATGTAAAATTTGCTTTTGAAATGGCTGTCGTGGTGGTAGAGGTGACCTCCTTGCAAAGGGATGGAGTATGACATTTGTGTCACAGAGCATGACTCTCAGTGCAGATTGTGGGGGCACTACTATCTTGTGAATTTATGTTAAGCTGTCCACAGAAATTGGTTAAACTGTGAAAAAATCATCAAGCCCACAGTTGTTTGGGGGTATATTAATGATTACAGGGATGTCTGAGGGCAGACCATTATTCCAGAAATTTAGGAATCATTGCTAAGAATAAGTTACCAAGGAAGTATACAGAAGACACCTCTTCATATATTGTTTGCCATTGATTTGTGAGCACAAGTGTGGTCAGTGGTGTTGGGAGGAAATCGGCATTGCACTTAAACCAAGTATTGAATCGTTAGTTATTCTGAAACACTTCATACTAAGAAGAAAAGTAACAGAGGAGGAAAGGATAACTTCAGGATGGAAGGGCAAATAGTAGATTTAAAAAAAAAAATTATTAACATTTTTTTTCCATTCTTAAAGAATTCCATTCTTGGAAATGTGTAATACTGTGAAGGATTCATATATGAAATATGAATTTAATATAAATAACATGAAATTATTAGTAACTGAGCTTGGACAACAAATCCCTCAGAATGTGCAAGAGCCAGGAAGAACAAAGAGAATTCATGCACAGTAGCTCAAGAAGCTGCCAGCTGCACGTGTCGTCTTGCAGGGTCAGTAAAGCAGAGGACGGACGTAAGGCCGTTGTGGGGTAGGGAAGGTCACAGTGCAGAGGGGTAGGAGCCCAGCGGCCCTTCAGGAGGCAAGACAGGACAGGCCTTCTGAAACGGGGCGGCTTTCTGTGTATCAGGCTGTGTTTTCTGGAAGAGCCAGATTACTGGGAAAAATACATCCACATGAAGAAAAAGCAATGAAAAGGTGTGTTACAGGTTTAAACCTTGAAAATAGCATTTGTAATTGAAAGGAATTAAATATTATAGATGAGATTGTTCTGAAATACCATTATTGTAGAGTAAAAAGACGAACAAAGAGTTGTCACAGGAGATGAGTCTGCCACTATGGAAGAAAATACAAATAGGTGGGCAGCAGTGTTGGGGCCCGCTCCAAGGACGGCCGTACAGTGCCTATTAGCAGGCAGGATGCCTTGTTAGTAGATAACTAACTTCAAGGCCGACGGTGTACTTGTTCCATCAGCGGATCGAAAACAAAGGCAGCTGTCCGGCTGCTGCGTGACCATGAAGCTAATTGGACAGTTGCTGTGGCGCACTTGTTTTTAGGCATAAAAGGTATTGTATCCGGAACCTTATAGGTAAACTTATAAGGGATTGGATGCCAGCCCCGAGGACAGTGGCGAGACAGAGGTGAGAGGAGAGCGTGTAAAACCGTGATTGGTCAGGGGTGCGGCTTACTGTTCACTGTATAAAAGTGTGGTGGAATCTGCAATAAACGGAGCATTGACTTAATCTCTGTGAGACTACGTCTCTGACTCCGGACGCTCCCTCGCATCACAGCAGAACAAAGCAAAAATAGGAATTCAAAGCCCTGGAGTATGACAGAGCACATTTCCCTGTTCTAAATAAGCAAAGATGTTGTTATTTTAATTTCTGTGAAGTACAAAAATCTGTAGAGCAGAAATCAGTCCCAGAATTGTGCAAATGCATTTCAGCCTATGGAAAAGAATGTATTTTGCATTATTATATAAAATTTGATCCATTTACAAGGATACTTGGAGTTGTGCAAACATCGATGAAAGATACAGGGATGTAATCACATCCCTGAGGTGCAGTCTAAGTATTCGGTATGTGACATCCTCAATATCAAAGTCTGGCAATCTAAACTATGTAATGAAAATGAGTATGAATATGCATTTTAATAATCTTAAAACATGTGGAATGAAGTGGGAATGGAAGGAGTTAAGAATGAGCTTCTGTAGGAAAAGATGGAAGCTACAAGGAAAAGGGGTCTAGGAGTGATATCCTTTCCCCTCATAAAAGAGGACTGCTCACTTGTAACAAGAGTATTCTTGATGTGGACCAAAATCATGTTTCCTCCTAGGATAAAAGAAGTAAAAGGTAGGATTAAATAAATAAAAAAAAAAACATTTTGGAATGACCAAGTCAGGAAGAGTAGTAAGAAAACTTGTGTTTCGACTTAAGAGTAGTGACCCCCAGAAAACAAAATTTAAGTTCAGAGTGTGCCAGAAGTATAGTGGTTTTTAATAAACCTGAAAAAGCAGGGCCAGCAAGATGAACATCTTCATCTTGGGAGATGTAAGTTATTATAGAGCACTGACTGTAAACGACAGTTACTGAAAACAGTCATATCAAAAGGTTATAGATATGTCTGTATTTTAAAAGCAATAGTAAAGTTCAAGAAAAGTTACTGAACTTTTCCAAAATGTTTGAGTCTTGCTATGAAATACCTAATGTAAAGTACAAACAAAATACTTAAATATAAAATTAAATTCACAGAAGCTGT